TGCCTGCTAGCAAAGAAATTGAATCTGAAGTGGCTCAACAGAACCTTCAGTATGTCGCATGACATTAGATAAGTACTCAGTGCCGGGAGCTGCTGTTTATCACTAATGGACTGAATGCATTCCACTCGTAGTAAGTCTCAAGGTGGAAGCGAAGCTATTGATTTCAACCTCACGGCAGCACTTCTCAACGTTGAATGTACGTTAGAATCACTCAGAGAAGCATTGGAAAACCCCAACGCCCAGAACTAACCAGAAGCTCTGGGTTTGGACCCAGACAACAGTGGTTCTTATCGTCTCCGGAGCATTCCGGTGTGTTGCCAAGGCTGAAACAGCCTGTCCTAAGCATGTGCAAGAATCTCTGCTATTAAGCTAAGAACACTTAGATTAAACTGGGTATTATTGTTTAATACTACTGTTTTCACCCAACAATTACAGATAGAAGAGAACTTCAATCAAACGCAGTCTCCTCATTCTTAGGCAAAGAAACACATCTTCAGTTTCCTCTAAGTCAGGGCCAGGGATATAGCTCAGCAGTGCAGTGCCTGCCTGGCAAGTGTGAGGCTGTGAATTCAACTTCCAGTACCAAAAAAAAAAATTTTCCTCCAAGTCTCGAAGTAGCTAAGTGTTTTACCAAAGGCCCCATATTTGATTACTTGTGGATTTGAAAGTAGATTCTGTGTCTCCTGCCTGGAAGGATAATTCTTGAACACATCGTCCAGACAGAACAAGAGGATTTAAGAGATGCACCTGTCCAAAGTAGCGCCACTCTTGTCAAGCCATTGTTTTTCAAAATGAGAAAACTAGAATGTTCCTAAGTATTCATAAAGCATGCTTAAGTACTGATAAAGGCGAAATTATGCTGATGGTCCTAATCAGCCAGCTTTGATTTGCTTGGCTTACAATAAGTAGACATTCTTGGCGTAGAGTCAGTGAATATCTTCATTTAGTCAGAAAATAAACTAGGAAGAAATCAAAGTGGAAAATATCTGATACACTTATTTTGCAATGGGAAAGTTAAAAGCAAACATTTACAGGACTTCTTAATGAATCAAATGTACACACATATAGTAAACAAATGCAGACAACCTTGATTCTTTCATGTTCCTTACAAAAGAATAATTTATAGGTGTGAATGGGGGGAAGCTTTGAAGACTTCTGACTCAGTAACATTTTGGGTGTAGAGGGAAAAATTGACATTTTTCTTTAGTAAATACAAGATAAAGGAAGTAAAATACACATGAAATCATCTGCATTTTTACCAGTTAAAGTTATGTGCCTGGTAAGTGCACGTCCCCTGTTCCACCTGCAGAAGGTGCCTGTAAATGTGTCTCCTCTGAATTCTACTTCTTCACAACAAAAACCACTGAATCAACAGATAAACTTGGAAGTAAAAGTGTTTACTTAGACTTGTTAAATAAGCAAAAGTTGTGTCACAGAATAAAAATATTAGAGGTTGTCCACAGATTTTTAATTACCTTTTGTTGTGATTGTATCTGAATTTATGCAGAAAATGTGAAGGTTCTAAAAATTATATGGGCATTACACATTTTCTTTCTCTTTGCCCTGAAAAGAAAGCTGCCTAGTTAGTGGAACCCTATGGTAAATCCTAAGAGCAGAGTTCTCTTTTAACAAGAAGTCTGAGGTTCTAATTTGTCTGTCTACTCAACTGTGCTCTATTCAAGTTGTCTGGAAGCCATAATACCTTGACAGTAATTATTTCCTACTCCTAAGGGCCTTCTCTGACAGAACACATAGTGAAAATGTACCAAGGCCAAGTCTGTGGGACATGAAATAATCAGCCAAATCAGAGAAAAATCAGTCAAATCTGCTTCTTCTTATCATGAAGATCTTTCCTTAACACGACAACAAAATGAAATCGCATTTCCTTTCTAACAAGTGGTGTTCAATGTATTATACATAACTCTATTACCTTTCAGGGATCAGTTCCATCAAATCAACTTTTAGCATAAGACAAATTATTTATCAGCTTGTCTGCAAGCTTTATCTTCTACTTCAGATGACATTCTGCAAGCCCAGTATTGCACACCCTAAAGAAATAAACTCCTTCACACCAACCGGATCACCTAAGGCCAGAATGTGGCAAAGTTTCTATAACCAGCTAGATAACAATTATTTCAGGTTTTGTATGCCATGTGCGATACAGGCTCTGTCACAGGCACTCAGCTCTACCACTGAACTTCCAAAAGCAGCCTTACACAGTATGCAAACAAATAGACATGGCTGTGTCTCAATACAACTTTATTTACAAAAACAGGTCATATTTACATATCCCTGTTTTAGATAACTGGAAAAATCTCATTAGATCCTATCTCCCAAGAATATTTTGATTGGGGCTTTTAAATTATCCTAATCAGAATGGAGAAAATATACAGAAGAGAATTTGGAATCATGGTGATTGCTCAAGGTGGACTTAAGGAAGCTGTCCAGGAGAGAAGGCAGTAACGAGCACTGTCACTTCTGGAAAGGAAGCCGGGTATCACTTTACCCACCTTCTCCACTTCCCTTTACACAAAAAGCTGGTGAAGCTGGCGTTAGAATTCCCCTCTTCCAGGTTTTTAAGAATGTGAGGAGGTGCACTAACTGTACAAAGCTTACTGTAGCCAAGCCCTGGCTCACGCCAGTACTCAAGCTGTCTCCACGGCACTAGTGAGCAGCTGCAGTGGACACTGTTGTCACTGTACAGGACGGAAAGGGCCAGCACACTGTCAGGCAAGAGAACCTGCAGGTGGAGCGACTTCTTTATCCACTCAGGCAGATCTCAAATCCACGGTTGGGGCCTGATGGGTTACTTGTCTGTGCCGGCAGTCCTGAACTTTAGCAAGCTGCCTTGATCTTAACCAAAGCCCACAAGCACAGTTAGTCCACAAGCAAGGGTCATGGGCCAGGTAGGAAGGAGCATAACTTTAAAGTAAATGTTTTCTTAACCCTTTTCGGAACCCTAGGGTACAGTCATTTCAGCTCATGCCTTGAGGGTGTTTTCTGAAACAAGAAAGTGCATTTTCAGCACTCTTGGTGTCTGATTTCAAGCCCTTCCCTTAGAACAGTAGGTGAGTCTAAGTGGGCTGATGATGCCACCCTGTTTTTACTGATTTTCCCACAGTGTTTAGTCACCCACATCCCCTGACTGGGCCCACGGTGAGAGAGTAGGTACCTGGGGCTTTTCTTAATTTTCATTAAGGTTCCAAAAAGGACAATTAAAGAGAGTTTGATTTGAGTTCATCCAAACATATGAAAACATTCACCCTAGTTATCGCATTGATGAGCCTGTATGTGATCTCCTTTACAACGTAGCTCTGGCTCAACTCGAACAGGAAGCAAGCTTTCCAGCATTCTGTAACGAAAACTGTTCATATCTTAGGAAACATTAGAGTGGAAAAATACAGTGTATACAACCAAGAAGGAAAGAATATAGTATGCAAGGGTGTGATCCATATCTCAGATGCTAGGGCAGTTAGCATCATTTAGGTGGCATCATAGCTCGCTAGCAGTATCTCTGCAGAAAAGTATTACTTTTACTCCCATTTTAAATATGAAAAAAAATGTAAAAATTTAAAAATGGGCACTCACACAAAATTCAAATGATTCAGCTCTGAGAGGGTATATGGGTACTTAAAAGGCCCTGAACATCTTTATGAGATTAAGGCCTACCTGCCTCACACACAGGGCACTCCCAATAGTGTCCGCTGGCACTGCTTCTAGAAGCATGGGGTCTTTGGCCATTCTGCTTCTAATAGCAGCTGCACACCATCCAATCTACAATATTCCTAATTATCTTGGAAGAAGTCCAAAGGTCTCAAAATTAAAGTACATTTCTTTTATTGAACAGTATGTATCTTGCTGACATCAGTGATGGAACTTCACAATCTGAGAAATTTTGAAAGCACTCCCCTCCATCACACAATAACAAGCTCAACTGCAAAAGATTTACACAAGAAATACGGAAGCAATGACACTGTGACACTGTCACATTTTAATCAATGAAGTTCATTATCAAAACTTTAAAAGACCCAACAAAACAGCTTCTTGTGAAATAAGCACTTCCTAAATTTTCTTTTTCTCTAAATCTGTATTTTTTTAAGTTTTCTTGAGGTATGGTATATCAGAACTAACTAAAAGACATTTTAAAGAATTAAGCACCTTTAATGAGAAGACAGAACAGTTTTTTAGTGATATTCACTGCTTGAGGAGGTATAAAATTGAGCTCAACTAACGTTCAACTCTTATGAGACCATTGGGTTGACTTCATTTACTTCATGCAAGGAATGCTGTAGATAATCTCTGTATGACTTCAATTACAAATAGTGCAAGTTTTTTTTTTTTTCAGTCTGCATAATGGAAAATAAAGTTCACAGTTGTTCCATACAACTCCAGGGATAAAAATCGAGGTCAGAGAAAAACCTGTTGCCCCTCTGCAGTGGAATACACCAGCCTTACCACAGAATGGGAAAGAGAACAAAAGCAAGAGCGTGAAGCAGCTCAAAACAGGCTTCCTAAACCTCAGTGCCATCTCATGTCCACACGCTCACAGCAACAAATCGTCTTGGCAGAAAGCTCAGTCATTGCACCAGAGGCAGCCATGGGACTGAACAGCAGGCTGAAGCCGGCTGGCTGTGGAAACAGCCCCTGAATGAAGAGCTGCCGCCTTCCCCTCCGCCACAGCACATCTGGCTTTGGCGGTGAATCATAAGCTACCCCGTCCTCACCACAGTGATTCATGCACAGAGGTGGAGATCCGATGAGCTGCCCTGCTCGGGCATCAATTCGTTTCTCTCCAGCCTGGAAAATCAGCATCACTTCTGACAGGCTGCTTTCTCCACCAGGCTCAGGCTCACCCACCTCCCTCCTCCTCACTCTCCGGGCTTGCAGCCTAGGCCCTGTGGCCCTGTGGCCACCACTGGCTCCCCAATTCCAGGCCACCATGACCTGCCAGCCCTTGGCGGTGCTTACTTAGCTCTGACAGGCACAGTCAAAGCACTTACGTTTTTGCCAGAGCATGGCCTGTGACAGGATGTTGCCTTTTCTCTTTGAAGCAGACAGTTTGGCTTCTTGAATGTGAGCCTGGGTATGCTTTCCTCCAGTGGAACCACTGCTTGCTGGGGGCTGTGTCCTCAGCTTTTTAAAGGCCTGAGTTCCCGCGGCGCAGCGGTGCGTCATCACATCCTCCCACCTCAGGCACGAGTGCACTTTTGCGATAGCAGCACGGCCGTCACCCCACTGTGTGCATCCTCTGAGGGCCACCGGCTGCAGAGTGCTTCACACACAGAGCCAGCCAGCTGAGACTGACGACCACACAGCACAGAAAGGCCGGGACCATTGGCACACAGCTGTAGAGTGTGTGTGTGTGTGTGTGTGTGTGTGTGTGTGTGTGTGTGTGTGTGTGTATGTGCAAATAACGTGGGCACTGTATTAAGCCTTGGATCTCCTCACACAATGAGGGTCCAGAAGGACACTCTGGAAAATGCTAGGCTTTCTCTGGTGCTTATCTGGGGTTTACACCAGCGGGCATTGGCAGGACTTAGCCCGCCTTAAGCAACGGAAACGTGATTCCCAGGGGTCACTGACTCTTAACATGGGAGGAAACACCTGTCCTCCTTTCAAGCCTCACTAAACAACCTCCTCATTCTTTTAATATTGCTTTTCTGTTTATCCACTTTGAAATTCAGTGGCCACGCCCTTTGCCCCAGTCTCCACCAAAAATGGCAAGGCTTAATTTTATTTAAATATGGGGACACTGGTTCTGATAACTGATAAACTCACAAAAAAATAGGCCAACTCGTTCAGGGAAGAAAGGACAAGACACCTAGCCTCCTCCAATGAAGCTGCCTTTTTAAAGGAGACTCATCAGCACCTTAGAAACAGAGCTTCTCGCACGTGCCCCCACCTGATGATCAGGAAGCTTCTCAAAAGGGCAGGAAGGGGTCCAGCACCACAGTGTACGGGGGTGAGGCTTAGGTCTCCTCCTGTGCGGAGCACGTACACTCAGGCTCCAGTGTCTGATCAGCTGGGTCACGACCCCTAGGCTAGGGCCCTGGGGCAGGTCTGGGCTTTGCTGCTCTGTCCTCCGTATGACTTGGAGTGATCTTGTAGATCCTGGCTCCCATCCTGCATCCTCCTTTATCCTTTTCACAGGTCAGTAGCTAGAAGTAAAAAAAAAAAAAGGGTCCTTGTGGTTGAGCCTCTGTCGTCCTCCCCAGCACATCTTCTGCTGCCCACTGACAGAATCTCCTAGGCCCCATCAGACAACCGCAATTCCCCACTTTCACCGTGATGTCTTCGCATGCTGGTAATCTCCCCATTTCTCTGTCTAAAAGTCACCTCTGTTTTTCAAGACCCAGCTCAAATCTTACCTTTTTTGTTAAAAAATGTTCGGACTCACCAAACTTCCTATACCAGAAAATATCCATCTGTCTTTTCTCTGCCTTTAATGGATTAAAAGATGGCAGACGGTTGCCTGATTGCATAGCTTCCTAAAAGAGGTTTCCTCTTCATCCCTGAAGTGCTTCCCACGGGACCTGGAGCACACTGACCGTAGAAAAAGTTCACTTGCTGAGATTCTGAATTACACTCTCTCGTGGCTTGTTGGTTTAGGTGTAGATCTTGAGAATAGTGTTAACATAAACAGCTCACTCAGTAGACATAAAAAGCTCTCTCGTGGCTAACTTAAAGGCCTTCACCCAAGAGCCTATGAGCTTCAGGACAATGCAGTGACCGTGCCAAGGAGGCCACACACCATGGCCTGGCCTGGAGGGCAGCCATGTCACGAGGTCTTGCACCCTACTGAGGGGTTCCACAGGAGACAGTGGCACATTCATCCTGCCTGGTTCAATCCAGGAGACATAGGACCCCCTGCAGCCCCTGCTGGTCACTCGTTTGGTTCCCTTAAACAGTCACATCGCTGTTCTAGTCTTGGTTTCCAAGCTTATAAAATGAAGAAGTGGTTTCTAACTGCCTCACAGGGTATTAGGAAGTGATGAACCTTTGGTTCTCTCTCACATCACTTGGATTTTTGTTATCTTATTCTCTCCAAGTCTGTGAAATTAATTTTTCGTATTCACCCATTTCTCCTTCCAGGCTTAGTATAATGATTTCCATGAAGTAATAATATTAACTACTTACAGTGCACAATCTTCCTTATGCAGCCTTAAACATATTCTCTAATCTAGTCTACACACAACAATTCCATGAGGAAGCTTCTGTCTGTATTGCTCCAAGAAACAAATTCTTAGGAAATTTAACTTGCCCTATTTCACAGAGATCTTAGGTTATGGTATAGGTATCAGACAAAAGTTCATATGCCAAGACCTAGATTCCTATTTGTTAGTGTAATTATAATATAGTATTGATGTTCATTAAGTTGGAATGAGAAAAAGCCAGCATGTTTATTCTACTAATACAGGATGACTATGATTAAAACCTGGAGTAGATCAGCAGAAGATTACAACCTCTACAGTAAATCCCTGTTTTCTGGAAAAAGAGAGAAAAAGAAGAGACCCAGAGTAGCTCTGAGGACCAGACTTTGCCCCTTAGCAGAGACAGTCAAATGACAGAGGTAAGGAAAAACTGACATTTGGACACATTATAATGGAATTTTAAAACAATTAACACTATGAAGAAATTCTAAAATCTTACTGAGAAAAAGACATTAACTGGAGATCAAAAACTATAATGACAGTTTACTTCTGTACAGCAAAACTAAATGCAAATGACAATGAAGAAATATTGTTAAAGTACAGAAGGGGGGAAAAACCATTGAACCTATCATTTTAAATCTAGCCAAACTGTCATTCAAATACTGTACCATAACAAAAATACCCTCAGACCTTCGGGGCCTCACATTAAAATTGCTCATAGAGGAAGTAATCAAATGAAAGGCTCCCTGGGAGAATGTGACAAAAAAAATACAAACAAAAGGCCACCAGATACGTAGGTCAAACTAATTATAAGAATTATGACAAATAAAACTAGAACAAAAAGAGAAAATTCATTTATAACAGCCCGGAACAAAATATCTAAACCTATCAACACACTTACACACATCTAAGGTACATCATTTGTATCATCTTGTATGTAATATAATTACTATAATTAGAATACATTATATTGTGTTTAATTTTGTGATATGTAACTCTAGATGAAATCAATGGGAAATTGTACAAATGTTTTTGTTGAATAAAGAAGAAAACACAGGTTGGCATTCTTTATATGAAATGTTTAGGACCAGAAGTATTTTCAATTTCAGATTTTTTTTGGAGTATTTGCATATACATGAGCTATCTTGGGGTGGGACCCAAGTTTAAAGAGTAAAGTCATTTATTTTTTCATCTACACTTTATGAACATAACCTGAAAGTGATTTGGTACAATATTTCACTGTAATATTTTGACTGCAACCTATCATGTGAGGTAAAGTATGGAATTTTCTACTTATGGTGTCATGTCAGCATTCGAACATTTATGATTTCGAAGCATTTTGAATCCTGGCTTTTTAGATTAAGGATGCTCAGACTGTACAGCTATCGATAAATTTAAGAAATCAGCAACAGAAAATAATCACAAGTATAAATTGAAGCAAAGGGCAACCACCACTTTTGTCCAACCATCAAAACAAAATAAAATGTTTTATTTTTAAACCAGCTAAATAAAACTGGACCTTCCTATGGAAAACAGGAAAGGGGTATATTTAAAAATACAGTGAACAGAAAAGAGAAATAAAGTGATGAGTTAAGTTTTAATAGTACAGTAACCATAATGAATATAAAAAGAGAAATCTTACCAGTAAAAAAACACAGGTTTCTGAACTTAATTTAAATACTTTAAAAGATCCAACAACGTGATGCTGGAGTTGAAAGAAAACACAAAGTGTTTGCAAGTAAAAGATTGATGTAACTTTGGTTTTAAAACCAGCTAAGGTCAATATAAGAAAATTATAGGTCATTTAATACGGGAACATAAATTCAAAAATCCTGAATATTAGTTTGCAGAATTCAATAGAGTAGTAAAAAATAATAATAGATAATCATAACAATACATTGTAATGCTTAAGATTCATCCAGGAAACACTAGGACAGTTTACTCTTAGAAAATCTATCATTGTGATCTACCACACAGTAGATTACTGATGAACTGTGAGTAAAAAATTATTGAATCACCTCAATCAATGCCCAAACATTTGATAAAGTCCAACATCTATTTATAATTTCAGATAAATAATTCAAAAAATGACTAGAAGGAAACTGTCTTAGCTTGATAAACTATACACCAAAAATCTACAATAATAATATATAGAATGGAGAAATTATAAACAGATTCCCTTAAAGAACAGTTGTTCTACAGCATTATGTGATTAATTTCCAAACACTTTAACCTACAATGTTAAGAATCACACATATTAAGCAGACATCCAATAAACATATAAGTTAGGTCATGTAATTATGTCAAACACTATTTTAGGGAGATATCAATAAACAAAACATAAACTGTTTGCATTACACAGTCTGACAGTTGGTGTTAGATAGACAGGAAATCTGTGACTTTTAATAAATGATTTGTCATCATTGCAAACATGGACAGACTACAGCAATGGTGGCAAACCTATGGCATGCTTGCCACAGCAGGTACTCAGAGCCCTTTCTATTGGCATGTGGGACAAGTCACCCCAGTAGCTGAGCATCGGTTGTTGTTTTTTGTACTAAATCCTCAGTATTCATATTTAATTACAGTATTGACACTTTGTGATAAATAGGTTTGGGGTTGTAATTTGGCAACCTGGTCTCTAAAAGGTTCACCATCACTGGACTAGACTGCAGAGAAATTGATGGCCAACAGGTTTAACAATCCCTAGACCCTGAAGACTGTATGTAGGTCAAAAAGGAAGGGTAATTTTTAAAGCCAGATCTGTAAAGAAGGATTTCTCAACCTGAGAGCTGAGAACAGATGGGAGGACCCATGGGATTTTAAAGTGACCATGAATTCAATGTACCATACATGTGTCTGTGGGGGATAGTCCATAGAGTCTGTGAGAGTTCCAAAGTTAAGAATCATTATTTATTTTAGAGAAGTACTGTGATTTCAAATGTTTAAATATTTGAAAGAGAAATTGCTTAATTCCAGCTAGAACAATAATTGGTTCCCAGGCAAAATGGATAATCCACAAGTAAAATATCAAACTCCTTGTTGCCTGCAGGAAACTTCACAGTTCTTTCCAGACTGAGTCAGTTAAATCCATTTCTCATTTCTCTAACACATCTACATCATTTTACCCTTTTGCCATAATTTTCCTCTGGGACAGTAGCAGAGTACAGTGAAGAAATTAAGAGTCAGAGAGCCTCGTTTGGAATCCAGCAGCACTCCAAGCACTGGAGCCTTGTGTGAGTTGTTCAGGCTCTCCTGCCTGTACAGTCTTGCTCCTCCAAATTGAAGTTAATAGTGAAATTGCAATGATTAAACATAATAGCCTAGGGTTTTCTACATATATGAACTTTATTATCCGATTTAGATCGAGACCACCTAACTGAATTCTGATAGCTTTGTTTTCAAAATCCATATGTACTAGAAAGACCCTCAGATCTTGCAATTTCTACATTTCCAAGAAAAAAGTCTCCAGTAATCCTTACTGAACGGATAAACTGGATTCAGATCTCATCTCATCTTCTCAAAGTCCCAGCCATCATCTGCAAATATAGTTGCTGCATGATAGCTCCTTATCTAAAAATAGCCTTCATGATTGGGATTTTTAGTTTTATGGCACCTTAAAAAGATGCAGTGGTGAGGCTTTATGAAAAAGAAATCTGATCAAGTGGAGTTTGGATCAACCTGAGTGATACGGATGAGGCCAGTGTTCAGA